AGCACTTACCAGAGGAGGAACAAAGGGGAAAGGAAAGAGGAGGTAGGATGTCCAGACGCCAGACTGAATTGTGGTGGGCCAAGAGCTGACACTGGGTAGTCTGAGGCCATCAGAGGGTCTGGACAGCAGCTCAGTGGTCAGATCAAGGAAGGAGGGCCGGAGTCTCAAAAAAAAAGGGGACTGGGGTAGCCTCCTTTCCTGAATATCTGAGTCATGGATAACAGCACCAGCTGTTAGGTTCCTGAAAAGACCAGGACCACAAGAGACCACTCTGAGGCAAGAAAAGGAGAAATTTATTGGGATGTACAAGCTGCTGGGCCACTCTCACCAGAGAAAGAAGTCAGTGATTTCCCACCACAGCAGGCTGGATTTTATAGGATTTCTTTCTTTTGTGGGTAGGGGGAGCTGAGGCTGTAGCAGAATGGGGTGGGGGGTGAGTCAATAGCAGGTGCCTCGGAAGGGGAGAGTTTCAGTTAGGTGTTTTTCAGTTGGCTGCAATGGAAAACTGCAGTTATGATTAGGGTGTATTGTTAAAAGCAGGAGTCAGATAGTTACTAAAAAACTAGGGTGATTTAGTTTCTGTTTCTTGGAATGCTGCCCTCCGGGTTGTAGTTGCCATGTTATTGATCAATAGTGACTCCATCTTGGGGCCCAGTTCTGTCTAACACTCAGTCCTGCTGTGCTGCCAGGAAATGTTGCAGGAAGGATGAGGCAAAACATTGGGAAGGTTCTGGAAGCAGGTTTTATTTAGGCTGCAGTCTGGTCCAGAGGACATAAGTATTAAAGTCTGGACCCCAAAGAGACAGAGTTCTTATATTTTTATACCTTCAGCAGAGATTACGGCAATGTGTGAAGTCTATATTGGGGTCTCTGTTTGGCTCAGAAGGTCCCTGTGAAGTAGGGAGGTAATCCCAATTGGTGGAGAGGATCCCACTTCCCATTCAAAGGAGCAGCGGTGGTGATTACAGCACTCCTAATCTGCCCCAGGTGCTTTATCTGAACACTGACACCTGATAATGCTTACAAACCACTAGACCAAAGCCAGAAATCTCATAGGTAGAAGGAAATTCAGAAATTCAAGCCCTGTGAGCCTCAACTGCAGACACAAGGGCCTCAGGCTATTTGAGGATCCTCAAGATGTTGATGCCAAGCCCAGGACCATTTGATGGGGATTCAAAGATAGAAAGAGAGACAGTTCCCACCCTCAAGGAGCCCAGCACAGGGGGTAAGACTGATAATCTTCATGTAAGTTGGGAAATGCATAGCCTATTCAGAATACTTGAGAAGAAAGCTCTTGGCTCAAATTGAAGTCCAGGGAAAGGTCTCTGCAGGAGTTAACATCCTCATTCCTTATGGTCCTGAATGCACTGATAATCTTGCTGTGTCGATAGATACATTCCCAGAACTAAACTCCAGTGGCCAAGTGTTCATTGCATCTTGATTCATTTTCCAGAGCTTCTGCTGAAGTGCAAGATGCCTTCATGACCTATACTGTGTATGATGACATCATCACCATTAAGCTCATCCAAGAAGCCTGCAAGGTTTTGGGTAAGTCTGAAAGGGCTTATTTTGGGTCCTTAAGGCTGTTGCAACAAAACCCACAGTTTATTCTCCTCATTCACACTTGTTCTGTTGTATAAGCTGCTGCAAACAACGAATCAGTAAATACTGAATACTTGCTGCTAGGGGAAGCACAGAGCTAGGTTCCCGAGAGTCTCTGGTCACCATCTCAATGTGTAATGTTGTTTATGTGGACTTCTGTTTGAAGACACACACATCCATGATCCATTAACTTTGAACTTGGGATGGAGAGATGACTCAGTGGTTAAAAGTGCATACTGCTCATGCAGACGACCTGAGTTTGGTTCCCAGCACCTGCACCGAGCAGCTCACAATCTCCTGTAAGTGACCCCAAGCCATTTCAATGCACAGTTTATATAGTTTTTCAGGTCACTTTTCAGCTATGACACCATTGGTGGATTTAAACTGTGGTTTCCTATAATTTACATCACAGTTGTCTACTTGTCAGAAGACAATTGTAAGAAATTCCTTTCATGGTTAAGTGGTCAAACCTGATTACAAAAGAAGATACAGTGGTAGTTAATAAAACATTCTTTTTTCTTAAATATCTATTGTTTTATGTGTATGAGTGTATGTCTGCATGTATGTAAGTGCACCTGTTTTGTGCAATACTCACAAAGGTAAGAAGAATGCATTGGATCCCCTGGAACTGGAGTTATGGATGGTTGTTAGCCTCCATGTGGGTGCTGGGAATCAAACCCAGGTCCTCTGCAAGAGCAGCCAATGCTCTTACCTATTGAACCGTATCTTCAGACCTGAGTTAAACATTCTTAGCAACAGAGTTTACATTGTTACCTTACCAAACAGATGTCCTATCAGATAGCTCTAGTATTTCTGGCCTTTTGTGTTCTCTATTGTTAGTTTTATTTCCTCTGTCAGTTATAATTATTTACTAAGCAAGGCAGTACAAAGTGGTCCTAAAGCATAGTGAAGCATAAAAATATAAAAATCAGCCATAAGTAAAAGAAAAATGATCTCAAACATAAAGAGCAATGTTAAATGCATGGACCATGTTTCTTTTCCTCTTCATTCACCCATTTTGATGCCTGCTATTTTCACATACAATATCAATCCCTAAAAGCTTGTTTTGTTGACCATTGGATCCTCTAGATCCTCTTGCTTTATGGCTCAATATGGGGGCCCAGAGACCTAGACCATTTGTAATTTCATTGCTTCTAAACAGAGTGAGATGAAACTACTCAGATAGAGCATGAAATAGGGTCCAAAGAGATGTATCATCATGACAACTGACAGTGGGCCTATGAGCAGAATAAGTCAAGGGATAAGTGAGGACCAAAATGACCAGGGCAAAGCCATGGCCTCTCTGCATTTCTGGATATTATCCTAGATATTTTTGATCATCCATTGCCCAATTCAAGACTGGCTTACCTAGAAGCAGCTTCCTTTTTTGTAGAGACATGTGTATACTACCCATTTTGGCAGTCAACAGGTCTAGCCTTCCTCTATTCTGGAGGGTCACAGTGGCTAGGGAGTCTAGCTGTTTTTGAAATATGAAGATTGAACGTGATACATCCTATAGAACCTGTCATATCCTTGGGTGAGGTGTTTGAATTTTACTTCTGTATTGACTATGCTTCCTGCCCCTAGAGCCATTCCTGAAGTGATCCAATCCTACTTACTAGAAGTAGGATTAGCATAGGTGTCCTCTTTTGTCTCCTATAATTATCCAGTGCTGGTATTAGCAAAGGTTGATCCCCTGGAATGATGTCCATCTTGGGCGTAAGGAAAGCCAAAGTGCACATTTCTTTCCAGTCTTTAGACAGGCAGGTGCAAGCTGCCTGGCTGCAAACAAACAAGAGAGATGAATGTTTTGTGCTCCATACTCCATCAGCAGTCCAGGCAGAGAACAGTGCAACATAAAATCCGATTACAGCTAAGGTATTCTTGAGGCCCCATTGAGTCAGTATACCTGGGATCCTTAACACATATTTGGGGTTTGTTGCTCAAAGAAAATATCTCAAGCCTCAGTTTGGTAGAGTTAGGGGAATCCCCTTTATAAGTCAGTTCTGAGTTTGAGATATTGACAGGCATAGCAGATCCCCCTTAGGATACCTGCAGGCATACATAGCCAACAGTTCAGCTAGGATTCTGAACTGTCAACAGTTGGCGTGTGGCATTGATTATTTCCAAGGTTTACACTGTAAGTCCCCAAACAAGTGCCTGGGTTTTCAGGGGAACCAAAGGTGGCAAGGTAGGGGGAATCAGGCATGGTGCCTGTACTGGGGGAGCTCTCATAGTCGGTGGCTGGTCAGGGGTTCTGCAGCAGGGGCATGTGGATTGGCGTAAGGTCACACAGGTTCCCCTTGCAATATCTCTGGCAAGCATCTTTGCCAAGGCAAGCATCCTCTTGAAGCAAAGTTCAAAGTCATCAACCTGACTGTTCCATCTACTGTGATCTGGGATACCTGGAAAAGATTTCTAAGTTGAGCATCTGAGGGGGCTTCTCGCAAGACAGGTAGGTCTGTTTTCTCCAGTTCTGGGGCCTTCAAGAGGTGCATGGAACAGATACCAACTGCCTAGTAAAGTTTTCATGATAGCAGTTGAGGCAACTCGGCTCTGATCCTTACATATAAACCTTTCCAAATGATCGACAAAAGCTAGGATTTCCCCTGATACATGAAGTTTGGAGCCTTTAGTGAATGAAAGAAAGACTGTACAGTGACAAATAGGGTACCCAGGGCTTCCCAGTGCTCCAGGAATCTTGGAAATATAGACTACTATAAGAAGTAAAAGATACCAAAAAACATACCCTTATACCTAAATATAGTAATGCTATGACTACCCTCCCTAGTCAGGTCCAGTCATCCCAGGTAACATCAGACCCATGGAGAACATTAGGTCTAACAGCACCATTAAGCTTATAGGAATATGATGGCATTTTGAGGACATTTTCCAAATGTCACCCATTGAATTATTCAAGCTTCCACTGTGTGTTGACCGTTTGGGTGGGAGGGATAGAGGAGAGGGTTGGGATGAGAGTAACAAGATTGCTTTATATACATGTATGAAATTGTCAAAGAAGAAACTTAATAAAAGTTAGAGAAAGAGTTTCCCCAAAACACAAAGCATATGAAAATATATAGAACAGATTTTCAATAAATATAAAATAAAATAAAAATGGGTTGAACCAGCATTAACCCATGTCCCTAGAACTGACAGGTAGAGGGTTCTTTCCTTGACTTACACATGCCAATTTGATTGACATCCTTTCTCATCATTGTGGTCGTCTCCTAGCTGCAGAGCTTCTTCTAGGAATCTGCTCTGGTAGAGGCTGAAAGTCTCAGTGAAGTCAGGAGAGGGAAGGCTGGGTGTGTGTGATATTCAGAGTCCTCTCCAGCCCTGTGCCACCTGCTCCACTGGCTCATCAAACTGCTCTGGTCTGTCTTAGAGTCACAGAGACACACAGGAGCCAAGGGTGCCTGGAGCTGGGAGGAATATGGAAATGAACAAGTTGTTAAGACAACCTACAACCAGATGTGATAGCCCCTGGCCACTTGCCACCTATACCTCCTGCTAGAACTAGACAGATCTACACCTAAGATTGGAAATACCATACAGGGGTGAAATGAGTGTTTGCTTCTACATCTTCCAGAATCCACACTGAGCAGCAACACTCCTGGGACCCTCTCAAAATTAGCATACACCTTCCTTCCACAGCCCTGGGCCCTGGCAACCTCTTATCAATCACAGCTGATGCCAGGACAAGTTTGTGTGCACAGGTGGCAGCAGGCTTTCTATACAGAGTCCTGGGTTCAGGGTGGGTGCTCTTCCAGAACTGCCCTCTCCTTGCTAGACTGGGAGACCAGGAACCAGGGTTCTGGCCTGGGCTCTGCTCCCCAATAGCAACTTGTTTAACACATTGCTATGACACCTCTTAGTCTTATTTGATGCACCTGCCAAGGAGTTTCTATGTTTTGTTGTTGTGTTTGTTTTGAGACAGGGCCTCACTCTGTGTCTCAGGCTAGCCTAAAACTTGTTATATAGCCCAGGTAGTTTTGAACTCATGTTGATCCTCCTGCCTCAGTCTCCCCAGTGCTGAGATTGTAGGCATTAGCTATCATACCCAGCTTAGCACTGCCTCTTAATGGGATGGGGAAATGCATGGGGAGGAAAGCATACTAAGACGCAGGAAAATGACACAATGACATCTAATAGCTTCTCCGCCGATTAAAAAAAATTTAAAAGAGTAAAAATTGGCAACTGATTACTGCTGGGTGAGGAAGAGCTGATCTTCCTAAAACAAGAGATTCTAGATAGGCTGACTAAATCTCAGTGGATGGACTTGCACGGGGGGACATCTGGGGACATCTGGGACTTGACACATTGGTCCTTAATACAATAACAGCATGGGTTCCAGTGGGGGGGCGCTGTGGAAGTGTGCCAGTGGGGACGAGGGTATAAAGATGATTAAGATTCTTTGAGATAGTCTTTATAAAATACAAAAATTCAATAAAAACAAAATTTTTAAAAAAGAGTAAAAAATTTAAGAAGACATGGTTGTGGTGTTAAAGATCCTTTTCTAGATCATTCAGCCAGATCCCTCCTTGTTCCAAATGTGAACCTCCCTCTCCAGACACACAGACAAAGCCTGATGCTGCCCCTCTACAGACAATATTGCAAGTCTGAGATGGAAGCCGCTGGTCCATGGCATGAATTTGCCATATGTTTACAGTTGCATTCTGACTTCTCTGAGTAGGAAGGATGTCTGGTTATTTTCTCTCTACTGGAAGACACAGAAAGCTAGGTAAGACATCTGTGATGAGAGGTGGCTACTTCTTATCTGAGAAGCTGGAGTCTGATAGACAGAGCTTAAAATATAAAAGGGCAAAAGAGCAGAGGATGAAGTCAAGCCGTCCTTATGCTTTCTTCTGGCTTTGTTTTGGGGGATCCTGGAACAGGAGTGGGTAGTGGCTCTATCAGCCAGCTTCAGCCTGGTCCCATGTCCT